TGAACTGAACTCGAGCCTTAACGAGCCGAGCCAGACTCGTATACTTTAACAGGACTACTGGTAACATAGTTCGATTCGACTTGTGAAAGGTCGAACTCGACTCACTTGTATATTTAAACTATAGCTAAAATCAAACAACTAATGGAGTTTTTCTATCAAATAAGTCGAGTTGAACGTGTTCGCACTCAGTTAGAATTTTGGGGTTTGGTGTAGGTTTAAAATTTTATTAAACGGATCAAACTGAATTTAATCGATTCGAACTCGACTCACATTTCTGTTTGCTTATTAAATGAGTTTAGTTATGGAAACTCATTTATTAAATGTACACGAATTTAAATATGAGGTATTTGACTCAAATAATCTAGCTAGACACATATTTTTTTTTAAAGAAAAAAACTTGTGAATATATTAACTACGATCTTTTAAAAATATGACAAATCATAACTTTTAAATCAATTTTATTTTTTAAATGAAAAGATATATTTTCTCATATACTCGAATTTGAATTAGAAAAACAATTTTTTTATTAAAAATTCAGCCATGAGATATGCCAATCGCTTTATTCTTATTAAAGTTCATATATCATTTCATTGAATATGACTCATAAATAAATAAGACTTGACATTAAATTTTTTTATATACTGAAATACCATATATTTAAATCAATAAATTCGACCCCATACTCAATATTCTATGCAAGTCTAATACAAACAGTAATTTCTCGAATAAATTTATTCAACTAAAATTTATTTAACTAAAAAATATAATGTAAACAACATTCTTGTTTTTTTTTTTCACTATATGGATAAATTCGACTCAATAATTTTATTACACAAGTGAAAAAAAAGAGGGCAATAACGGCCATCTCTCCCATTTCTTATTTTCAGGCAAGTTGAGGATTGTTTGAATCTCGGAATTTACCAAATAAACTGGTGATTAAAAGAGCAACGGTAACATCTGGTTTTGGAGATTCCTTCAGGGGCATTCTTGTCATTATCCCTATGTTAACGTTTGCATTTATTTTTTCTTGGTAGCCAGCCACGGTATCCAGAGCTATGACCCGACTAATCCGTTGGTCGATCCGGGTCTCACACCTGACAGTGGTGGGTGAGTCTCCCAATAAAGGTTTTCTGCATTCACAAGAACTTGAATTCGAGACCTTGCTTAAGCGACATCAAGTTGCTTACCACTTGAGCCAAACCCGATTGGTAACCGTTTGCATTTATCACTGTCAATAAAAGCCAACTACAAATATGAAGCAAATCAACTCTTTCTGTTCAAAAAGCCTCACACTACTGGCCTGCACCATCTCTCTCTCTCTCTCTCTCTCTCTCTCTCTCTCACTATTTCAGTCTTGTTTCACATTGACTGGTTTTTTTCTACTTTCCTGCATTGATTTCTCCTTTTGCTTGCTTTTCTTCACTTTCTATCTTGTTTGTGTAATAACTCAGACCCCATTACTTAGAAACCATAATTTTCATCTAGTTTTTCATGCTTGCATTAAGGCTTTTGCAAATTAAGTTAATTTGGTGAAGACCCTTTTGCTGAGAAAAATTGAGGAGTTGCAAGGAGAAGTTGGGATTTAGTGTGAAATAATGGCTGCTCCAAAACCAGAGGAAATTAGTCATCCCCCAATGGACCAACTTCAGGGCTTAGAGTATTGCATTGATTCTAATCCTTCATGGGGTTTGTTATTTATTTATTTATTTACTTATTTTTTGTTCATTGTTTTGTTTGTATGCAAAGTGTTTGATTAATTGTCGCAAACAGTGGAGGCTATAGCTCTTGGATTTCAGCATTATATATTGGCGTTAGGCACTGCTGTGGTGATTCCTTCATTTCTTGTTCCTTTGATGGGTGGAAATGATGTAAGCCACTGTCTACTTGTAAAGTGCTTTATGAGCTGATTTCTGATTATTGAAGTTATTGTTGCTTATCATAAACTACCTGTTCTTGATTTGTTATAATCTCGAATTTTTATGTCAATTCCAAGATTGTTGTTATGGCTAATGTGGTGTTGTAGTAACTTTCCCTTTTGATGCATTTAAACCAGGATGATAAAGTGAGGGTAGTTCAGACTTTGTTGTTCATTGGAGGAATAAACACATTGCTGCAAACTTTGTTCGGTACTCGATTGCCGACCGTTATTGGTGGGTCGTGGGCGTTCATGGTACCTATAATCTCGATAATTCATGATCCATCCTTGGAAAGAATTACGGACCCTCGCGTGGTATAACTGTGCTATTTGTATAGTTTGCTTCAACTATAATGTATATTATATTCCTCTATGTAATGTTAATTGCATACTGGGTTCAGTTTGATGTGCAGTGCTAAATCAAAATGAATATCTATTTCAAAGAAAAGAAAAGAGCAATCTCTATTCATTAATACTGTCAAGTTGAGGAAGTTCTTTAATTTACAAGTTATGAATGATTGTATTAGAATGTACAATTCACATATCTCACCCTTGTGTGAATATATTCATTATATTAGTTTTCAATCCTGCAGAGATTTTTGAGTACAATGCGGGCATTACAAGGCGCACTTATAGTGGCGTCGAGCGTGCAGATTATTCTTGGGTTTAGTCAGTTGTGGGCTATATGTTCGAGGTATAGTTCTTTACCATGCGTAATTTGTTAAAAGAAGTTACCTTTTATTTCTTGTGAATTAGTTAAGAACAACCATTGTCTTTTTTTCCAGATTTTTCAGTCCACTCGGGATGGTCCCGGTAATTTCTCTGGTGGGTTTTGGTCTGCTTGATAAGGGCTTTCCTGTGGTGAGTTTAAGAAAGAAAAAAAAAAATTAATTTTCATTTGCTGCATAATTAATAATATACGACATCGATTAGTATATGTTATTGATTCTTATCGTCACCATTATCAGGTCGGACGATGTGTAGAAATCGGCATCCCAATGTTTATCTTATTCGTCGCCTTCTCGCAGGTTAGATGGCCAAAAGTATAAGGAGTTCAATTTTTCTTTTGTTTTGGTACATTTGGGTTTTTTGAGCATACAAAAGTTCAATTTCCATGCAGTACTTGAAGCACTTCCAAACAAAACAAATCCCGGTACTCGAGCGATTTGCACTTCTCATATCAGTGACAGTTATATGGGCTTATGCACATTTGTTGACTGCAAGTGGCGCTTACAGGCACCGTCCCGAGTTGACTCAGATCAATTGCAGAACTGATAGAGCAAACCTCATATCTTCAGCTCCATGGTTAGCATCATCAATAAATAGACACAAGAAAAACAAGAAATGAAAGTTTGAATGAGCACTCATTTTTGTGCATTCTCTTTGAACCAAACCAATATTGTCAACTCAACAGGATTAAAATCCCTTACCCGCTGCAATGGGGTGCACCTACTTTTGATGCCGGTCATGCTTTTGGAATGATATCGGCTGTCATAGTCTCCTTAATTGAGGTAAAAAAAAAATATTTTCCCTTCTAAAAAAATTGTCAAGTAATTAATTAGTATGTGATTTGATTGAAAGTGTTTGTTTCAGTCGACCGGAGCATATAAGGCTACATCTCGTCTGGCAAGCGCCACACCTCCTCCGGCACATGTTCTCAGCCGTGGAATCGGTTGGCAGGTCCGAGTTACTATTAACAAACGCCATAAGCAAAATTTCAAATTTGTTCTACTATTGAAAAAAGGTTCTTCAACGCGTTAATGTTTACGTACAGGGGATCGGAATATTGTTGGACGGTTTGTTTGGTACTGGTACTGGATCAACAGTTTCAGTGTAAGTATTTTGGTGTTAGCATTTTGCTGTTTTAGATTTTATGAATAAGTGTATGATTATATTTTGAAAAAAAAATAAAAAAAATTCATGTAAATCAGGGAAAATATTGGTCTTCTTGGAAGCACTCGGGTTGGCAGTAGGCGAGTAATCCAAATATCAGCTGGTTTCATGATCTTCTTCTCCGTGTTGGGTACATAATATAAATACATACTAATACGGCCTTACGTATCTCCAATAAAGGCAAACAGTATCGAATAATTTTTAATCGTGCAACTTTTTTTCATTTTCGTGCAGGGAAATTCGGCGCACTATTTGCATCCATACCCTTCACGATATTTGCTGCTCTGTATTGCGTTATGTTCGGCCTTGTTGGTATGTATTTACTCCATAACACACTGTTTAATTTCTTACTAGTCCTACATCTTTTTTGTTTGCGCATTTACTGAATGTTTTAATTTTTAACAACCACTTTTTTCTTTTTGTTCTTTTTCCAGCTTCGGTTGGGCTGTCGTTTTTGCAGTTCACAAACATGAACTCAATGAGGAACCTTTTTATTACCGGCGTGTCCTTATTTCTCGGCTTGTCAATACCCGAGTACTTCAGAGAGTACACAAGTGCTGCTTTTCATGGTCCTTCACATACCAAGGCTAGTTGGGTTAGTTTCTTTTCTTCCTTTCTTTCCATAAAACAAAGGGAAAATATGCATACAAAAGCTGAAAACTTTATAGAATGCAATAAAAAAGGAAGAAAAAGGAATGAAGCACGTATTCGTGATTTTTGAACGATAGCCGAACTTCGATCTTTGAAAAACGGGTAAACTTGATAAATAATACATGATTGTTAATTATGTCCTTTGCAGTTTAATGATTTTGTGAACACGATATTCACGTCATCCCCAACGGTAGCCTTAATAGTTGCGGTTTTTCTGGACAATACGCTCGACTATAAAGACAGCGCAAGGGACAGAGGCATGCCGTGGTGGGTTAAGTTCCGGACATTCAAAGGGGACAGTCGAAATGAGGAGTTTTACACTCTTCCTTTCAACCTCAACCGGTTTTTCCCTCCATCCTGACCGGGGGGGAGGAGTGTGAGAGAATTTGAGTTCATAAGTGGGGATGACAGATTAGATTAGCTGTGTCTTTTTAATTTTTTCATTTGTTTGAATATTAATTTGGGTTAATTCAAGTTTAATCCAAAGGAAATTAGCTTCTAATTGTTTGTTCCTGAGTTCTTGTATATTATGGTAAAAGCAACTTTTGCCATTGTGTTGGAGAAACAAAAACTTTGTCACGCTACATAAAAATTTAAATTTAACTATAAAATTAAAATTAAAATTATTTTAAAATAACAAAATAAATAGTTTTATTATATACTTTGTCAAA